TTCAATGCACTTTGGACTTCCTCCCTGAGTATCATTGGCTCTTGTTCATATGGTACCTCTTGAAATGGTTGAACATTAACCATTTTCTTTTGGTACAATGACTCTGTGTATTCCTTCCATCTTTTCTTGATGCATTCTGCATCATTCAATAATTTGCCCAGAGAATCTACTGGGTTAGGCACCCAGTTTTGCAAAATTGAATAAAGAAAACCTCACTCTAGTTAAATAAGCACAGATTGGACTACTTGAGCTTTTGTCAGTATGGACGATGTTTCTCATAAATTTGGGGGCCCTGTCTGGGATTTTCTGCCCACTTTGAGCAGCAGCCCTGATGAAAAAGGAAACGGGTCCCACCTTGGTCTCAGGGCCTACTCCACATGGGTGATCCCACCTAGCGAAAGCCAGAGAAAGACCTGAGACAGTTCAAAGATCATCAGAATTTGCTGTGGAGGACTGAGAACAGAGTGACCACAGTAACCAGGCAATGTGTGCACAGGCCAGCGTGGGAAAATTGGATTGTCATTATTACCTTGGTGGTCAGGCATTTTCGGGGGTCATTGTGGACTGAGATGCATCTTGGATGCGAAGTGAGTGTGGAGTTCCAATCAGGCCGAAAAACAGACAAAGCGAAATCTCTCTCGTGCATGGTTGCAAGAAACCTCTATGAGTACCTGAACCCAGGAAAATATTGGTGGTGGTGGTGGGGGACTCAGACACCAAGACCATAGAAAATGGGGAATGGAATTCTAGGCCTAGGGAAGAAGGGAGCTCAGAAGAGACTCCCATAGGCAGTCCTTGGAGAGAATGTTGAAGGCTTAGGGGAGCAATCCCTGAATCTGGTAAAAAAGATAAACAAAAGATGATTAAGTGGAAGAGAGCAACCTGGCCAACCAATCAGAAGAGATCCGTATTTGTGCCCGTTCCAAAGTGAGGTGACCCAACAGAATGTGGAAATCATCAGACAATATCATTAATATCAGTGCAATCAAATTTTGCTACAGATAATTTTTAAAAAATGGCCGCAGCAGTACACTGACAGGAAACTGCCTGAGGTTCAAGCTGGATCCAGACTAGGATGTGATGTCATTGCTGACGTCAGAGGGAACTTGGCTGAAAGCAGAGAATACCAGAAAGTTTTCCTGTGCTTTACTGACTATGCAAAGGCTTTCGACTGTGTGGATCATGACAAGCTATGGACAACACTACTTTGAATGAAGATTCTGGAACACTTAATTGTGTTCATGAGGAACCTGTACATAGACCAAGAAGCACTTGTTCAAACAGAACAAGGGGACACTGAATGGTTTAAAATCAGGAAAGGTGTGCTCCAGGGTTATAGTCTTTTACCATACTTATTCAATCTGTTTGATGCACTGGAGGAAGACTCATTAACAACCTGAAATATGCGGATGATACAACCTTGCTTGCTGAAAGTGAAGGGGACTTGAAACATTTACTGATGAAGATCAAAGAGCACAGCCTTCGGTATGGATTACAACTCAATGTAAGAAAATAAAAATCCTCACTATCGGACCAATAAATAGCATCATGATAAATGGAGAAAAATAAGTAAATAAATAAAAAAGATGATTAAATATTGTTGTTTTATTTGGCCAAAAGAACCAACCAATCCATTCACCATGTGTGTTCTAGCTTAGGTTTGGTGCCAGTGAGGACTGGTCCGGCCAGGCCCTAGTCCTGAGCTCGCTTTTCTCAGGAGGAGATAGCCTATGCTCTTTGTTGGTCAGTAGGGGGAGCTGAATCAGTTCAGAAGATGTTCCCCCTTAAAGAACCAAGACTAAATCCAAAGATGGAGGGATGGAGTGAGAATCCCCTGGATGAACTGTTAAGAGAAGCTCAGAAGTTTTTGTAGCGAGGAGGAGGAGCAGAGGCAGAAAGCCAGAATCATGGTGTCTACTGTGAATAAAATCATTTCTAAGAGGCTAGAAGAAGACCTCCCCCTTCTCAAGGGAAGTGGGACAGTGATTACAGTGTTAGGCTTCCTCAGAGGAAAGGGAGGCGAGGACTGGCCAGGTCCCCAAGCCCACCAGCAGATGTTAAAAGTATGGGAAGACAGGCCATTTCAAAAGAGAAAGTCCAGAGATAAGAATATATATATATATATAAGGAGCTCTGGTAGCGTAGTGGTTACGAATCGGGCTGCGAACTTTAAGATCGGCGGTTCGAAACTACCAGCTGCTCCACGGGAGAAAGATGAGGCTTTCTACTCCTGTAAAGATTTACACCCTCGGAAACCCTATACAGGGTCGCTAT